AGTCCCAAAATATACTTAACCCTAGCATCTAGACTTACCCAGATTGGATATAAATTTATCTCTCTCTCTCCCCCCTCCCCATATACATGTATGTAGACACATACATACAAACAAATAGGCATGCATATGGTATCTGCTATGTATATGTTATTATGATTATTCTGCACAATATCATTTGAGAATTGGGGAATGTGTGTGTGTTGAACAGCAGAGTTGAGCTGGAAAATAAAGGCAAAAACTAATCCAAAGTGGGGCCTCAATTATTTTTCACTTGAGGCATTCTAATTAATTATCAAGTATTTTGTTTCAATTCAGTAAGTTTAGACTAGTTCAAATCTGATTAAGAATTAAGACACTTTGTGCAGCCTATAGCTTGATTCATTATTCAGTCTCTGACTGCCAGTCTTATTTTCTAATTTGGTGATGCAACTTGTTTTTTGTTTTTTGTTTTCTTTTTCATGTCTTCCCTGTATCTTAAAGTCAAGTTTAAAACCTCAAAACACTTTCTTTAGATAGTGTTTTTGTTTTTAGTTTTAATTTTTATGGACCAGACATCACATTAAATCTAACTTAATGTGATGAGAAAAGAGAAATCCAAGGCAAGACTTGCTTTCTTTCTGAAGGGCATTTGCACTTACTTGACTACATTTGGTGAATTTCATGTCTTCTGTGGTTGCATGGTAAAGTTTCCATCAAAGGAACAGAAAAAGACTGGTAGTCCACTTTAGTCCAGTTAGAGTACTTCCACTCAGCATTTCAAAGAAGAAAGAAGTTTGGTTCTGCAGCACCCTCCCCTCAGTCCAAGGTTTTATAACTTTTTGCTTTTAAAGGTGATCTTGGTCTTTAAGAAGCTTTTGGTAAATTCACAGTATAGAAAGAGTACAGAGGTTTAAAGGAAGCATTTGTAATTCCAAGCATAGCCCAAGTTACAGGGCTTTTTCATGCCCTAATTTTGTGGCATTCCCTTATAACACACTAGGGTATTAATAGCGTCAGAATCACCATTTGTAGTGTCGCCACCACCTTTCCTTGGATATTCTGTTACATGAGTCCTACCTTGGGATCATTGTTTTCTTCCCTTCTACAGTGTATTTTGGGAAATACTTCCTGAAGACTCATGCATATTATTGATGGAAGGGAAACTAATGTACTTTTAAGTACCTCCTCTGTACAGAGTATTCTACTTCATGTGCAGGGCACATAATATTGAATAAGATTTAGTTATGTTCTTGAAAGTGAACATCTGGGGCTAAGGTTTGGACCACTGCCTTAATGATTACCACTGCACTTCCTAAGACAAAATCCTTATCCCTTCTACCTGTGAACTCATGTTTCTTTCTTGCCTTCCAAATCAAAACAAGTAGAAACCTTTCTGCTGTTCATGTTCTTATAGAATATAAGATGTTCTGATACAGTCTAGATTTTTGTTAATGATAATTCTTCCCTCTTTCCTAGAGATAAATATTCAGAACACTAAATCTGTTTGTAGAAAAACCATCTCTATCACTGGAGAACTCAAAATTGGTTCCTTGTTGGATTCTTTGTTCCAATTGTTGCATACAACTGAGTATGGCTTCCTCTGCCAGGGAGTCTCCCCGCCGGTTTCCAGCACTCTCTGGCCTTCCTCCCATTTTAGGGTCTTCTCTCTACATCTGATTATTAGTAGGTGAGAGTTCTTTCTGTGTCTATTCCATCTTCCCTTTCTTTTCACCTCTTCAGTTTTGCTGATCCTGATAAACTTGTAATAGTCCTCAAATTGCTATTAACCCTAGGTCTTTGAATCTCATGAGGACAGTATTTTATGACAGCTAATGGTCTGGATTGACTGATTCAAGAATCCAACAATAGGTCTTTGTTAAAATCAAGTGCTGTCTTTTGTCCATTCTGTGGAGACTGAACCCTAACCTCTTGGGCAGGATCAGTACCCTCTAAAGAATTTTAGTCTGTTTTCCTTCTCGTGCTTTCCTTCCTTCCACCTTAGGAATACTGTGTGAGTTTGTGAGAAAATCTTCAAGCCCACTATCATGAGAGTGAACAGCAGACTTTCCTCAGTCCATCCTTCCCATCTCCACTTCAAGTGTTTTGCATACGGCATTTAGTAGGATTATTAAACAAAAATGAAATAGATTAAGAATTGAACATAAAAGAATCAATTCTTGTGAACTGTGGTCGCATAATGGAAATCGACTACCATGAATGAACCCGTGTACTGAAGTTATGAAGAGCAGAGCTAATGCACTGCCATGAGTTCATCTTTATTATTGCATTACACCTGAATCAATTGATAAAGTAGCTTTTTTTTTAAAGTGAGGGATGGCACTTAATTGAATAAAAGTCAATGTAATTATATTAGCAGAGGCCAACAGTACTGCTGACAGCGGAAAAGGGACACTGTTGAACAGAGTGCCAGAGCTGGTCTACACATTTCTGCACATCGTTTGGTTGACAGATATTGAGGGCTGGTACATCGTCTAATTAGATTACAGATTTCTACTGCTGTAAGTGAGAAATGAAGAGAAAATCTCTTCCTGGTAACATATTGGTGGAGATGTGTAATTTCACAAGTCATCTTAGAGAAGATGTGTCCATCTGGGTGATCAGTGTGTCCTTTTCTCAATGTTAATTTATTCTTCCTTATTCAGTATGTCTTGATTCATCTGCTGTGTGTCTGGCTGCTATTTTCTCAGCAGTGAACCTAGGAAGTGGTAACTGCAGATGTGTGAGAAGCAACAGAGTTCTAGATTACAGTCATCGCAAAATGTGTGCTCGTGAAGTTAAGAAAGGGGGAGGGTGTTAAAAATAATAAACAGGGATAGGATTTCGTGAGCTGCATATAGTTGGCAGATTGTTTTATCAATAGAATAATAGCGCATAGCGTAACTCTACTTCCACATTCTTGTAATAACTCTGGTGGTGTACCCACATGTCAGAGTAAAGACCTCACAGTAGGCATTTCCTGCACTTTGCTTAGCAACCTGCACTTGGAGTCACCTGCCATCTGACACCAAGGAAACGGGGAATTACTGTGTCAGAGCAGGGACCGTGGGGACAACTTCTGTTTATCATTCACATACCCACACACTGCATGCATCTGTTTAAAACTCATTTGTGGATGATGATGATGCTGTGAATTTGGTTTATTTTAATTTGATTTATGATTTTTGGATTATACAGCTGATCTGAAAATCATCAAGACAGCGTATGGGATGATCGCTTATGACAGAAAATAATTTTGTGATCAGAACGTTTTAAATCCCTATTTTATTGTTTACGTTTTTCAAAACCAGATGTCTAGAATGTGAATTTGTTTTCTCTCTCTCTCTTTCTCTCTCTTTCTCTCTCTCTCTCTGTCTCTTATTCTTGCTTTCTTTTGTGATCGATTTAGCAAAAGATTAGAAAGCTGATCTTATTGTCACAAGGTAAGCTCAGCCTTCCTAAGTGCAGTTGGAGAGGGCTGCTGCCCTCTGCCCCTTAAAACCCAGAGTGCTGTATATTGTCTTGTGTGGAAAGGTGGAGAAGTGTTCCCCACCTTTCTTGTCTCTGAGGCACATACCTCTCAACCATCTCTAGGAAATATCAACCGTGTTTGCCACCAAATGGAATGACGCATTTTGGTCTTCCATACTTTTAAGTGTAATCGGGAGGTCTGTTGAACTTTATATCAGCCATTTAGGTCATTTCTCTTATCACAATTACTTCTCCAAGCTGTAGAGCTTCCACCAGTATTGAGAAGCTTTTATTTATCTGTAGATACGTTCGTTTATTTTTTGGAAAGGTAACCTTCAATTTAGGTACTGTTGAACATGTGAGCCTTTGCAGGTGGAGAGAGGTATATGCCCAAGGGCACTTTAAAAATAAGTGGGGGATATAAATACAAAGACAATGTTTCCAGATAGATGATAACATATCAGGCTTTGTAAATCATGATGTCCCTGTGGATTCTCTGGGACAAATCCTGTCTATATATATATACAAGCAAAGCAGTCAGTGAGTAGAATAAAAGTTTTGCTTGTCTAAGAAGTATGGGTTCCAGTTGTTAAAATAGAGGAACCCTGTGTTATTGTTGTGCTTGATTTTTTTTTTTTTTTTTTTTTTTGTGTTTTAATTTTGTACCTCTGGGTTTTTTTTTTTTTTTTTTTCTGTTGAGTGTGACTTTTTTTAAAAAGGTGGGTGGATTTTATTTTTTAAAAAAGTTTCTGTTTTTCAGTTTTTGTCTTAAATAATTAAATTTTAAAGTAGAATTACTCGATGAAAATATTTTGGACACTAAAATGCACATACTTCTAAAAAGTAAATGTATTTTATTATTAGATTTAACTGGGATTACCAAATCATTCTGACAAAAGGCATTCGTGTTGTTAAAAGACAGTCTATAACCCTATTTCAAATTGCTTAATCTGTTAAGCTATTGTTTTTCCTTAAAGCTTGAAATGTGGAGGGTAGAGAAGGAAGATTTCATTGTTTTTTGAAGTTATATCTAAATTATCTAGACTACTTTTTAAAAAAATGAATTTTTCCTATACCTCAAAATACAGTGTGTGCTATATAGAAAAGATGTTTATTTTTTCTTGTTTTTAGTTAAATTCAGACTGTTCCATTTAGACAAGCAGAAAGTTTCTATTCTTTTATCCTATTTAATATATATTATAAAATCTCTGCCATGAAATTCTCTGCAGCTGATGCTGCTACATAGTAAAACTAACAGTAATCATTGAGAAAAAGGTGCATGGGTTTGCATTCATCCTACCATTGACAGATTTTCCTCTCTTATAAAAATTATGTTAATGGAAAGTTCCCCTGATTGCACCTCCCACCACCACCACTAAACTCCCAGATCCTGAGGATATAGGAGAATGCTTGCTTTTATAATGGTGTAATTAGCAGTGAATGTGCTTATTTGATACCTAGTGAAAGCTGAATCAATTTTAAAATGCTTTCCTTTTTCTCACCCCTCCCCAACCCCTATCCACCTACCCCCCCCTTCCCTCTTGTTTTCCTAGACACAGTGCCAACATAAACCTACATCGTAAACTGTTGACCAAAGAACTCGATGACATGGGCCTGGACTCATCGCAGCCCTCCCTTAGCAAGGACCTCCGCGATGAATTTTTGGTGAAGATCTATGGTGCCCAGCACCCCATGGGGCTCGATGTCAGGGAAGACGCCTCCTCTCCCGCAGGGACTGAAGACTCCCACCTGAACGGGTATGGGAGAGGCATCGCAGAGGACTACATGGTCCTTGACTTGAGCACCACCTCCAGCCTCCAGTCCAGCAGCAGCATCCATTCCTCCAGAGAATCCGACGCAGGCAGTGACGAGGGGATTCTTCTCGATGACATTGATGGGGCGAGTGACAGTGGGGAGTCAGCACACAAGGCCGAGGCCCCCGCCCTCCCTGGCAGCCTAGGGGCTGAAGTTTCAGGATCTCTTATGTTCAGCAGCTTGTCTGGGAGCAATGGTGGGATCATGTGCAACATTTGCCACAAAATGTACAGCAACAAGGGGACCCTGAGAGTGCACTACAAAACCGTGCATTTGCGAGAAATGCACAAGTGCAAAGTCCCAGGTTGCAATATGATGTTTTCCTCTGTACGAAGCCGAAATCGGCACAGTCAGAACCCTAATCTCCACAAAAACATTCCCTTCACTTCAGTAGATTAGTCTCAGAATGGACACTACAAATGCCAGCTCTCACCAGATGGCCTACGTGTTTGAACTGCCATAGTCAGTGTGCGCTTATGTACTTGGGGTGTGTGTGTGTGTGTGCATTAATGTATGCTCTGTGGCTACATACACACACACGTATTTCCTTGAGATAAATAAGATAAACACTAGGTGCTTTTGAATTTTTTTCACTTCCCTTTATAAAAGTTTTGGGAAAGGAGTGGGATCTTTGATGTAAGGGTGAAAACAGAGTACCCCTTTAAACACACACACACACACACACACAGAGTGTGCAACTAGCCCCAGTTTTGACAGAATAATTCTTGGTCTTCCCCAAAGAGACAATTTGTTGTACCCATGACTGTTGCCTGCAAAAATAAAAGGGAAAAAAAAAAAAAGAAAAAAGAAACAAAAAGGAACTTCTTATAGTTGTCTTTTGTGAACTTTAAGGTTTTGAAAGAATCTTCAATTAAAGCATGGCAGATTCACCTGTAAATATTTAGCCTTGAGGGGCCATTGATGTAAAACAATTGTATTGATGGTTGTTTAACTTTTTTGTTTAATTTTTACAGTTACATCCAGCTGTTAGATATGCAGGAAAAAATAGTTTGCTGGCTAGCTCTATTCATTTATGTTAGCATTAATGCACATTTTTTTTTTTTTTAAAAAAAACCTTGGTCTTGTTTTTACTACCTGTTAGATATAGTGGTAAAGAGGTGCTGGCATGCTTTACAGCACAGATCTGATTTTTTAAAATGTCCTGTACTAGTACATAAATCCTGTCATGCACTTTTTTTCATACACTACAAGGGGATGTGTAATAACCATGCTTCTTTTTTATCCTTAAACTATTGCCATACTTCAGTAAGTGTCTTTTTTTAAAAAAAAATTCACTTGTATAAAAATGGTCTGGTCAGTATAGGGCACAAATGCCAAACAAAGTATTAGTGTTAACACAAAACTGCCAACTTTGCACAAGTTTCCAGAAAAGAAAATACAATTAGTCACTCAACATAACCACAGGCCAATTTGTCGGCCACCAGAAAACCGCTTTTTAAAAAAACACTTGGTGATTCTTTCAAGTGCCGAATGTTATTAGAATCAACATTGCATCCTTCTTGCTTATACGTTAAGTTACATAAAAGGAAAACAAAATTATGTGGTGTGAAACAGCCAAGGCATTTATTCTTCAGAGGCAGGATAATATTTCAGGATACAAAAGCCCAAATTACTCGCTACGGAACAAAGATGAATACAGTAAAAGAGTTGAACACTCATTTCTAAGGCCCTAACCCTTATCCTTTCAAAAGAAATCCTCTGAACTGGGTCGGTCTCTTGTATGGCTGTCTAATTTGTTGCAAATTCTGCAGTCGTACTATAATTCAGGCCTGTTTGGTAGACAAAATCAAAAGGCATTTAACAGCAGCAGTACTTGGAAGCTTTGAAAACATGTGCTAAACTTGAATTGAGCAACACTCCTTTCTGAAAAGCCAGAAGAAGGGGATTTTAAACTAGGATCTCTCAATGTTTAGTGTTTTGTGTTTCCCCACACGATTTGTCAGAGAGAAATGAAAGCAAGCCTGAAACCAAGCAATTGAGAGTGAGAAAGAGGAGAGAGACTATTCTCCAAACCTTTTTTGTTTTGTTTTGTTTCCGATGTTTACACATGTTGCCTGAGCTGGTTAACCACATCGGCAGCCTCAGCTACCACAACATACTGACTAAATGATGATATTTACTCAAGTTCAGTCTGCAGCCAAAACCATTAGGGTGTGCATTGCAGACTGGTTTGTTGTCTTTTTTTTTTTTTTCCTTTTTTTTTTTTTTAAGTGGAGAGGAAAGGAAGAGATAAACAAGGAATATTTTGTCGAACAGTACACAATAATTTAAAGAGAATGTATTTCTTTTTTGCATTTAATGGCCTCAGACATTTCTCTCATCAGTCTAAAGTTAGAAATACCCCTTTGTTTTAACTTTCATGTCGTTTCCATTTTTCATGTTTTTGTAATTATTTTTTCTGTGTTCACATCAGCATTCACTTCCGTTAAATTTGCCAAAGGAAACTGTTAATATGTTTCTGTTGTTATTGTTATTCCTGTAGGATTTATTGTACCTCACAGTATTTATTGTTTCCCAAAATAAGCATCATTAGTTGGGGATTCAGTATTTTTATTTGTGAAAATTTCAGAAACAATAGATTCTTAAAGATAGGCTAGCTATGTCTAGGAGCTTTATCTTTTCACCTCCTTTGGAGGATGCTATGGGGTTCATTTTAATTCTTCATTTGTTCTACAGGGAGGAAAGACCAAAATATTTGCCGTACAAAAGAAACTATATCCAAACACTATGTTAAATGACAAGTGTTTATGGTAAAAAGTTGAGGAAATTAGTAATAACCGTTTTTGTTTTCTTGTACCTTTGAATTCCCCAAAGTCTTAATTGCTTTATTTTGGTGTTGTGTTAAACTGAATAGACAGAGATGTTTTCCTTTGTTTTATACCATATAAGACTCTGTACAGTATGTTTGTGAAAGATTGAACTAGAATAATGAAAGTTTGTTTGCAAACATTTTGGTCCTCTCAGCGTTCTCTGTATTGTGCTGTTGCCCCATTACCAAATGATTAGATTCCAAAAGGGTGGGAAAATATTTTTAATATCCCAACAAAACATAGAAACTCTGGCTTTTGCAGTGTGCTTAGATTACATGTAGTTTTATGAAAATAAATACACACTTTTATTTCAGCAACTTTGAAAAGTTACATTCAGTTGAGTTAGTAGAAGCTATCTTGTACAACAGCAATGTTTAGTCTGTTTAATTTAATGTCAAATAAAAGGTCAGATAGCCCTCGTGAGTGAATTACATAGCTATCAGCAGGTCACATCAGCAAATGAACCAGGCTTAGAACAAATGTTTGTTACTTGCTGCAAACCAAGCTAATGTGTATAGCCAGTTAGAAAAAGTCCAGAAGTAATGAGATTCTAGAAGTAGAGTTTCCCTTGCTTGGAAACATGGATGTGTTCACCTGTGTTTTGTCAGAGAAATGGCAATAAGTCCTGGACAGCTGACACTTTTTAAGTATCTCCCCTATTTGCTACTACTTTTGTGCCTCAAGTGCCCAGTCGTTACGGTGGCCTTCTAAATGAGTAAATAACATTTTCCAATATAAAGCGTATTTGCTTAAAAGGGACGGGGGAGTGGACGGATGTAGTACATGCAATGGAAAATCATAAAATGTACAATTCTTCTGTTCCCAAAGTATTGCTTGTTCTTGAGTGTGTGCCTGCGTGTCGTGTTTTGACTTAACTAGAATTCTAGTTAAGATGGTGATCCCACGGCTTATTTGTAAACAGGAAGGATAAAGAGATGAGCACTGTAGTCATTGAGCTCTTCATCTTGCCCATTCCTACTCATTTATTTTTTCATTTTTTTGTTGTTAAACAGTTTCTCTCAAGCCACATCCATTCTACGCTGGCTGAAAATTAATAGTGATTTAGATGTTTATCCAACAAGCTTTTTCCCATGTGATTGGTTTTAGCCAGAGTTTATCACAGGTACAAAATTAGGCGCTGTGACTGTGCATGTTCTCTAGCTGATGTTGAAACTTACTGTCTTGATCATTTAAAACTATGTTTTTGTAAATATCAGGTTTAGTCCGCTTTCGGGAATATCTGCATGCTTTGGAAACAAAGAAAAAGGATAGATAATAAGTAATCTGGTTTAAAAGTGTGATAAAAATCCTTGGCATTCTTTGCTCTGGTATTAATTGTATTTAAATAAGTCAACCCAGTGTAACTCATTCCAAATCTTAGTCCAGCTGCCCTGTTCAGCCTGATGCCTTTTAAAGTTTTAAAGGTGTTAACGTTTTCCTTTTCAACATGGCAAACATGTTTTAAAACCTTTTTGGCACAATGGTGCCACTGTCCTCATAGTGTTACTTGTTTGGTCACGAATTTTCAGGCCCTTTCAGTAAGAGGAGAAAGGCATTTACCTGGTTAACGGCCCCATTAGTATACATTGCTCTAAGGAAGAAAAAAAAAAATCTTTGAATATATCAAGAATGGGCTGTTCCAGAGGCATTCCCCTCATTTTACTCAGGAGAAACTATGCACTAGGTTCCCACTACATACAATGTGACCTTTTTTTCCCCTTTCTCTGTACACACCCCAGATGTGTGCCAAGCAAATGAGAATGAGGGCTGTTGACAAAACATTAAGAAGCTAGTCACCAGATTGAGATGGACATGCTGCTAACTGCTGACAGCTTGACCTGAGCAGTCCTAACTTGTATCTGGTCTGTTAGCATTGGGTTAGATTGACTAACACAGTAAATAAAATTCAACCGTCATAAGACACGCTACATCTGCTATCATCAAGAAATCAATCATCCAGAAGAAACTTTTTCATCCTGTGGTCACACCCTTTTCTTAAGAGCTTCTTTTTTAAAATTATGACAGACGAATTTCATTCTTTGAAATCACTTATCTTCTTCCACACTTGAAATATTTAAATTAGGTGGTTTTGCTTTTCCCTCTCATTGTTTATTTTTTTGGGATGGATCTAAGATGGGAAATAAAAGATACCAAAAAGACTGGAGGGATCACGGTGTTTCCATCACAACTAAGTAGAGGGTCGGTTCCTGCCCTGGTTTGGGGGTAGCTAGAAAAGGAAATCAGGAATGCACTGGAAGTGTTGGCTTGAGGGAAAAGACTGGCATAGCTCTGCCTTGCAGTGGGTGAGAGCATATTGATGCTAGTGACCTGCAGAGTTCCCATGACCAGGTGAGTTGGCTCTGAGAAAGGGGTTAGGAAAGCAAGAACAGCTGCATGGAATAGCTGAAGTTCCTTTGGGGTCAGGAGGAGCCAACAGTTGTGGGGTTTTGGTTGCTTTTGCTTTGTTTTTGAGTGTGAAATCTTGCTGGAATCCCCTGAGAACCGAAAGATGCCAGGGGTCAGCGAGGCTATAGAAAAGGCCAGTGGTAACACCTCACTTTCATCCTAATGGAGGAGTAGGTGCGAATGGCACCAGCGTGGATCATTCCTTTCTTGATCATCACTCGTGCTTGCCACTGTAGCAACACAACAAAGCCATGATTGTAATTAATACTAGGCTAAAGACCTTGGTCAAAATGGGAGCTCATTTACTGTTCTATGACATAAACAAGTAACTTCTCTTTTCATATCTTCCCTCAGAGATAAACCACGTGTGGTAGTCTTGCTTGCGCTAGTACTAAGGTCATGTTTGATCTGTCCCAGACGGTCGCATATTTCCTGTGGCTGGAGTGTTGCTCACCATAAATGGTCATTTTCAAACAGTACTATGTAAATGCAGCTGTACAACTGACCAGTGAGTTATCTCTCATCACTGTTGCCCACATACCCGTCCTTCCTTGTGTAGTTTCATCATCCTCATCCTTCCCACATCTTGCGCAAAATGATTTTCTGTGGTCATTCGGCAATAACTGTATGTCACATACTGTCTTTTTGGCATTTGTTGAAAAATCCAAATGCTTAATAACAGAAGGTTTAAAAAAAAACTGAGCATTTTTACATGTACACTGAATTGGATCAGCATTATTGTTCATTATAATGCTATATATATTTTTGGAGCAGCATACTATAGTTGTCATAAAACTATCTTTATTCTTCTCCTCTAAAGTGTTGTTGTAAATTCATTTGACCTTTACTGCAGGAAAAAAAAATCTTTTTTATATGGGGTATGAAGACAAGGCTCAGTTTGTAACAAATAGTGGACC